TTCCATACCAGTTATAGGCATTTTGTAAAATTACTTTATGTGGCATGAGGGCAATGAGAATTCTGTGTCACTGACAAATACAATGAGTGTTTTTCCCTCTGAATTAGTGAGGAGAAGCAGCCTGAATGACTCCCTGTCTCTAATGCATTCATTGGGTACAGAACAAATAGGCAGTGTGAAATCCCCGCTGTATGCTTGGTTTCCAATTTCACTACATGATGACTTGAAGGGAAAAAAAGATCATATAATGTTATTTCGGTGTATTTGAGATGTGGAAGGAATTTTAAGTTCTTTTATGTCGAGCCCCCTTTTACTTAGTAAATATCTATATAAATTTTCTGTTTCAAACAGAAACAGGAATAATATATTTCATAATATAGTTATATATAACAAAATAAATATACTATACTATACTAAATATAAATATATATATATATATATATATATAATATGACATAGCTTACTGTCACAGGTTGCCCAGAGAACCTGTGGCCACCCCATCCCTGGAAGTGTCCAAGGCCAGGTTGGACAGGGCTTGGAGCAACCTGGGCTAGTGGAAGGTGTCCCTGCCCATGGCAGGGGGTGGAACGAGATGAGCTTTAAGGTCCCTTCCAACCCAAGGCCCTCTGGGACTCCATGATTCCATGATCTTTGCTGTAGAGTGTGACTTATGCTGGAGTTCATGTGTCTTAATTAAATCTGTTCTGGTACCGTATCCAGCACTTCCATAGGATTCATCTCTGTGTTTGCACATCAGATATTCCTCTGAGGCCTTCAGCAAGGCCATGGGAACATGGGAAACATGGGAAACAGGGGATTTTGGACATTTGAGTGAGGGAAGCTACAAAGTTCCCTGAGTGCCTGTCCTAGGGCCAGCCCTAGGAATGGCCTTGCTTGGAAAGGGTGTCCTAAGTACTCTTGCTGGAGCACAGGGGGGAGGTTGGATATTCTGGAAGCTTTATGGGAGCAGAGGTGGGACACAAGTAGTGGCCAAGGGCTCATCAGGGTTTGCAGGGGCCTAAGGGTGGAACAGAAATCCTGGGGAGCATTTTAGAACCATCACGAGGATGGGGGAAAATGTCCCTTGTTGAAGTGAACAGGTGTGTTTCTAGAATGGAAACACTGAAATCACCCAGACTTTAAAGTAATTTTGTTTTGTTTTTTTTAATTAAAATGTCTATGACACTCAAATGTTCATGGAAATTAATGCTATTACAAACCCTCAGTAGCTTTAGAATTAATTATTCCTTGCCAGTAGCAAAGGCTTAGAGTCACTCTATGGTAAAAGAGACACTTCAGAGAAAAATTGCCCTTCTTTTTGGCTATTCTACTTATTGCTGCTTCAGTCAAAGCCACGTTTTTTATATTATAGTCAAAGTCCTTAAATTTTCCCCCTCAGCTGCTGAGGAGCAGTGGTAGCAGTTAATGCTGTAATAAGGTTTCAAAAAGTAAAGTCATAGATGTGAAGATCGGCCACTCTGAGTTCTTGATCTTATTTTAAGTCTCCTGTGGAACTGACTTAGAAGTCCTGGATATTGGGAATTCCTTCGTTTGGTGCCTGTGGCTGAGGCAGGCAGGTGTGTTTGCACGTGGAGAGGGCAAAGGGGTGTATTTGAATGTGATCTGACTCTCCAGCTTCTTGTGCTGCAAAGGCTGGTGAGTTCTGAAAGCCTGTTCCCAGGATTAATGAGTGACTTACAATGGGCAATTCAACAGTCATGTTACCAATATCTATGTTTTTTCTGGGAAGTTTCTCTGATTCAGCTAATGAGATACTTTTCTCTGCATTTGATTTCATTGTTGGTTTTGTTAAGTATCAGGGAAAAGATCTACACAAGTGTCATGGCACTCCATCATTTCATTTAGGTGAGGGTGGGATCAGAGGATCTGTTTTTCAGAGGATAAATATGAAAAAATACTGTCTATTATATAGTGGGTATAATATACTGGATATAAAATATTAGATATATTATGCTGATAGTATTTAACTTTTAAGTAGTGAGAGCATCATGTTTGCCAGCAATAAAGAATTCATTGTAAGGAAATAGGTTTTCACAGCTGGATCATAGAACAGTTTTCCCATATGTGGCATAAGAAGAAATTACACTTCTCATAGATGGCAGAAAAGTTGTGCTGCACACAAATAGGATCAGTTAAAGGGGGATGCATGAAGGGAATGGAATTGGGATGGAAATATGCTTTGCTGAACATCTAATTGCTGCATTAAAAAAAAAAAAAAAGGCATTCATTCTGAACATGTTCTGATTCCAGATACAGACAGAGCACCCAGGAAGGGGAAACTGCAACCTGGTATTCCTTCTCTGAGCTCCCTCTGCCTCAGCTTGTCATGGAATCACACAATGCTTTGGGTTGGAAAGGACCTTAGATATCATCCAGTCCCACCCCCTGCCATGGGCAGGGACACCTCCCACCAGCCCAGGTTGCTCCAAGCCCCGTCCAACCTGGCCTTGGACACTTCCAGGGATCCAGGGGCAGCCACAGCTTCTCTGGGCAACCTATGCCAGGGCCTCCCCACCCTCACAGGGAATAATTTTTTACTAATATCTAATCCAAACCTACTCTGACAATCCATTCCCCCTTGTCCTGGCACTCAAGGACCTTGGAAATAGTCTTTCTCCATGTTTCTTGCAGGCTCCCTTCAGGTCCTGGAAGGTCACAGTTAGGTCACCTCAAAGCTTCTCTTCTCCAGGCTGAATAATCCAAACTCTCTCAGCCTTTCCTCATAGGAAAGGTGTTTCATTCCAAAGGCTTTACTCTTTAATTTTTTAAAAAATCAGATTTTTTTATATAGTTTTCTCATTAAAGTTCCTCTGGTTCATCCTTTCATCCACTGGGCCTTGCCATTTCCTTTTCTAGATGGGTTCCTGCTTATATTATTTAATTATAGAATAAATGGAATTTTATTTAGACAATATCATGCATTTTAACAATGAAGGTCATTAGTTTTCTGGAATGAAATCCTGTAGTGGAGTCACCATCCCTAGAGGTTTTGAAGAAGTGACTGGATGTGGCACTCGGTGCCCTGGTCTAGTTGACAAGGTGGTCAAAGGTTGGACTTGATGATCTCGGAGGTCTTTTCTAACCTAAATGTTTCTATAATGAATGGGAAGAGGGAAAGGAGAGAAAATCTATCTAATGACTTTCTTGAAGACCTCCTTTGTCAGTGCCACACACTGAGGCAGGATTCTCTGGTTAGGGATGAAGTGCAAGGACTGACCTCTGCAAATACATTTGTATTTTGAGGATGTTGCTGGCATCAGCAAGAAGGTCAAAGCTGGACATCAAGCAATATTAACGTGGTACCCACCAAAATGAATAGAAAAGTTGTTTCTTCTGAAAAAATGTTAATGTTTATTATTCTACTAACAGGGAAGATCTGAGAATGTAACACTCAGGTTGCACACTCACCAAAACCATAACTCTTGGAAGCAAGTTGGTGACATTCATGAGGTGTTAGGAATCACTCTAGGATTAGGAATCCTCAAGAAAATTATTTATGAAGTGGTACAGTAGAGTTATGAGCTGGCTGGGTCTGGGAGCCTCCACCTGTTCCTCTGGTGTGGGGATGGGTGGCCACCAGACCTTGGATACTGTGGGGTTTGTGTGGCTTCTCTGCTTGCCAGGCAAACATGGCCAATGAACCAGGAGAACAAAAATGCCTTGGAACAAACCTGTCTCCTTTGTACAATGTAGAGTACAAGCAAAGAAGCAGAAAAAGCATAGTAACTATCTTAAAAATATTGAAATCCTTGTGTGTAATGGATATTACAATTATCAGCGGATCATTTCCCAACTTCCTTGCCAAACTGGACTACTGTGTGAGCAGATCCAAGTCTTTTCTGTTTCTGGGGATCCTCTTCTGGTTCAGTGTTTCAGGCTGAGTGCTCTGCTCCTGGCCTGTTCAGAGGTAAGGAAAGCACATTGTGCCACAGGGGGGACCTCTGTGAGGATCAGGAACCGGGACCTGAGTTGGATTAAACAGGATCCTTGGCTGCTTGGTAGAGGGTGCATAAGCTCCACATCCTCCAGCACATCTGCCCATCCATCTTTCTGCTGTCAAGATCTCCAGGCACCCTCACACAGTGGTTCCTCGTTTCTCTCATATCCTCTGGGTAGCACTCTGCTGCCTCTCTGAGTTTAAAACTCCCCCCAGACAAGGCAAGATGCTCCTCCAGCCTTCAGCAGTGCCCTGAGTGGTTTTTATTTCACCAGGGGTCTGCTGGGTTCGAAGGGCTCTTGGCAAGGTACTGTTCTTGGGTCTCTTTACCCACTGAAAATGAGGGCAAGGTGAGACTGGGAGATGAACGTGTATGGAGAGGATTTTGTGCAGCACGAGATGATTTTTGTGTGGGCACTGAGCACACAGCTGATCTTTTCCTGCCTGCTGCCCCAGGAATTTCTGTTGGTGGGAGCTCTGCCTTGTGTGTGTGTGTGTAAGAATTGCTGTGTTTGCTCCTTTAAGGTGACGAGATTTGTGCGTTTCATGGATAGATGGGAATGTTGGGAGGTTGCCTCTGCTATCGCTTTGCTGTAGAGTAGCACCAAGTGAACCCTTCATTTTTTGGTCAACAGAAATGTAGAATCACAGAATCATTAAGGTTGGAAAAGCCCTCCTAAGATCTTCAAGTCCATCCATTAACTCAAACACAACTATATCCACCACTAACCATGTCCTTAAGTGCCTTTAGAACACCTGCAGGGACAGTGACTCCCCCAGGGCAGCCCCTGCCAAGGCCTGACCACCCTTTTGGTGAAAATTTCCCTAATATCCAACCTGAACCTCCTGTGCTGCAAATTGAGGGCATTTCCCCTTGTCCTGTCCCTTATTCCCTGGGAGCAGAGCCCAATTCCCCACTGGCTCCCTCCTCCTGTCAGGGAGTTGCAAAGCCAGAAGGACCCTCCTGAGCCTCCTCTTCTCCAGGCTGAGCCCCCCCCAGCTCCCTGAGATGCTCTTGAACCTGATGACCATGAAGATATTCTTACGGGTAATACATTATATAATACTGGTTTGGCTCTTTCTCTCCAATTCTTTATTATGCATTTCTTCTGCATTGCAGCACATTCTTTAGACAGAGAACAGGAACAGGGAATACCCTCCCCTGTTGGGATGCAGATTTGAATCCAAGAGCAAGTGAACTGATGTGAGAGAACTTTTGTTTGCTTTTACTTTTAGTGATTTATTTAGTATAGCCCTAATTAATTATGTAATGTTATGACCTTTAAGTCTTCAGTTCTCCTTGTCTTTAAATTATATTAAAATTCCTCATGGCAGCATTTGGTGGGTTTTGGCTGCAGAAACATCTCCCACAATCCGTATCCCACTCCAGGACCTTCCTGCTCCCCTTGGACTTGCTGCCTCTGTGAAGATAAATGACCCAAACTTGCCAGTAGTGTTCTGGATGAGCAGTGCTGTGACTTCTGCTTTGTGCCCTTGGGCTTTGAAGGTGTCCCCAGCCTGAGGATGGGCCAGGTAGCCCCTGACAAACCCCCTGGGTTTGCCCTTCTGTTCTTTAAAGAACTCTGGTTTGTGTGATCTGTGTTCAAACAGACTCATGTCCTTTGACTAGCAGGATATTCAGTCTCTTGGGATAAAGTGGCTGCTGGTGAAGATTTGTCTGAGCCAGGAGAGGATGTACCAACTGACAGCAAGGGATTAAGTGGTTCTGTTGATGCCAGGGGTAATCCTTGTGGAGAACTCCAAAATCAACTGATCCTGAAGCGCAGAAGGTTTGTTTTTTTTATTTCCAGGGCTGTGATCTTGTCCCTTCTGACTTTGTTCGCTCCCCTAAAATAGAGTGGAAAAAGGCATTAATGAGCAGTGTGACACTAAGCAATTGGGAGTGTGAACCCAAAAATGTCATCAGATTTCGGTTTATCGGTGAATTAGGAATCGGATCTGGTGATATTAAATAACCATTCAGTGATTGTTTAGCCCTCAAGGGGCTGAGGGGCATTAGAAAAAAGAATGTAATGCTAGATGTGCTGTACTTTTGTTAGTAATGTGAAATTTAAGAGATTAGGCAGAGAAAAAAGTCTTTGTCACAGCATGAGGTGCTCCCAAAGGGTCGGATAACAGATAATCCCCTTGTACTAAAGCTATATATTTCAGCTACAACAGCAATCAAAGTAAAGCCTTGAGAGCCTGCAAAAACCTGCCTGAAAGGCAAGGGCTCTCCAAGTGCTACAGAAGCTGTTTCAAAGTTGATATAACAAGAATCAATTCCCTCTTTTTCTAAACACTCCGTGTTGGATGTTGGGTCTCCTCTGATGCTGTCGGGAGCTCTGTCCCGGGCGGGGATCTCCGAGCTGTCACCTTTTTTAGTATCTGTGTTTAAAACAAAATGTATGAATAAAAAAACCTCTTTGAATGAGGTTGGTGTGTTTGAGGAACGTAAGATTTTTTTATTATATTATTTGATTTTTTTGCTGGTTGTGTTAGGCGAGCCAGGTGACAGCTCAGGCGGGTGTTTAGCAGGCAGAAGGATCTGCTGACATGCTGGAAGTGGGGAGAGGGGAAAATACAAGTGAATTAAGCTTACAAGTTACAAAAGAGGTTGTTAATATGAGCTGCCTTTTGGCCACTGGCAGGCAATCAGAGCAAAAATGTCTGTGGGGTGGTCAGTTTATAGCCTTTTCCCTGAGAGAGCCATCCTGGGTCTGCAGGTCTGAGGGTGGGGAGGATTTCTCGTTTGATCCCCACTGTCAGGTCAGGGAAGAAACCTCCAGGTGAGGGGCTGTAACTCTGGGAGCTCACAGAGCCATTTTTTACTCACAGGGACATTTCCCAGATTCTTGGCCCCCCTTTTCCTTTGGTGTAAGAATACCTTAAAGCTATTTGAACGTGGTTTTCTGGAATTTCTCCTTGAAATGGAGCTGTGCTTTCCCCGTGTTGCCAGAGTCGCGTGTCGTGGCACCGGGGGGTGTGTGGGTGTCTGAGTTCCCATGCCAGGTCTAAATACTTCAGCACAACTGTGCAATCTAGAAAGGAAACACAGCTTTTATTTTCTCTTCCCCATGCCTTGTTTTTCTCTTGCTTTTCAGTCATGAGGGCTCCTCCTGACAGCCAGGAGCCCTCCCAGTCAGACATTACCCCATTACCTTCTTTGAGCCGTGACTTATTTTTCTTGTGAAATGCAGAACCATCACTGGGCTTTTACAGAGACAGATTTTTTGAAGCTGAAAACACTTGCAAGCTAATTTCTAAGATTTCCTCTCACCTGTGAATTTTCACAGCAAAAAATGACTAATTTTGTACTAAATAAGGGACAGAAGAGGTACAATACTATGTGACAGCTGCTGTGCATCCCAAATTTAAATAGCTGTTAGTAATGATGGCAAGTTTTAAAATGTTTCTAAATAATTGATGGAGATGAGTGATATGGCAATGGGTGGCCACATTTGAGTGTAATGTCAGGTTATTCTTTGGAAACCACCTACTTCGTGGTGTGTTCCTCCCCAGCGTCTGCTGTGCTCTTCATGTGTCGTGTCTTTTCTCCTTACTCCCTTGTTTGATTTCTTTGCTTTTCTTTTTCTCTCTCAGTCTTTAAAACCCTGTTACCTCCCTAGGGTTTTCTGGGTTTGGGACTTGTATGCACTTAGAGTCTGTGCTGAGGAAGGTGTAGAAGCATCTTGCACCCTGTTCACTGAGCCCTGAGACTTGTGCACAGTTCTGGGGGTTTAAGTCAAATGGAACCTGTATAACCTGCAGAATATAAAGGAAAAATAAGGAGAGTAACAGAAGAAAAAAAAATCTCTTAATGCCTAAGTTATTCTCTTTGTTGCTTATGTGACCATCAGGAAAGCATTGAAACATTTCATAACTACCAACTGAGGACAAAAATGCAAACTTAGAATCATAGAATTGATGAATGGTTTGTGCTTGGAAGAGTTCTTAAATATCATCTTGTTTCAACGCCTTGCCATGGCCAGGTACACCTTCCACTAGCCCAGGTTGCTCCAAGCCCCATCCAACCTGGCCTTGGACACTTCCAGGGATGGAGAGTTGTTCAAAATGATTTTATACAATGTGTAAAAGTATAAAAGTAGAGGACAGTAGTGCTAAATCTGGACCTTGCATTACCTGCTAAGTGTGAAAGCACTGGAGTAATAACATTCCCGTTCCCCAGAAGAGGAAAGATGTGCTTGTAACAGTGTCAATATTTAATAATTAAGTTCAGATGTCCCACCAGCATGTTGGTTTGTGGGCAGGGAATTTTTTGAGCGGGCAGTTCAACTGTCTGCTTTGATTCTGAGGGTTTATAGGAGTCACAGTGGGTCTGTACTTACATGCCCAGAAGATTTCCAGGAGGAAGGTGGGAGGTCACAGCTGAGCTGCACAAATGTACGTGTGTGTCCCCTGAGCACACGGAGGTAGAGCTTGGTAGAGCTTTTCTTTGAAGAGTCTATTTTTCCCCCGTGTTTGTGTTTGCCTGAGTCACGTAGGGAGGTTCTTTCCACGCCACTGAGTGTCACCAGGGAGGTCTCCTTTCGGATTCTAGTCTTCTGCCTTTGCTTTTCTGCAGCATTAGGCATTCCTCCTCCTCCTCCTCCTCCTGTGCTTCAAAGGCAGTGGATACCAGCCCAGAACACCCCAGCTGTGTTCCTTCCTCTCAATTAGCAATCACAAGGCATCCTCAGGACACCTTACTGTTCCTCAGTGGAGGCATTCTGTCCTTTACCATGTGGGAAGTATGGAAGTGACTGGAGAATGCTCTCTGTTGCACCACCAGCAAGTACTTTAAAGGTTGTTTCTAAGGCCATGGGTGGAGATTTGTCCATAAAAGACATACATATGCTTTCTTTGCTCCAGGAGAACCCCAGTGAACTGTGGGGTTAGTTTCATAGAATCACATCCCTTGGTGTTCTTTGTCCTCTCACAGAACCACAGAATCACTGAGACCTCCAAGGTCACCGAGTCCCCCCTGTGCCCGATGCCCACCTTGTCCCCCAGCCCAGAGCACTGAGTGCCACGGTCAGGCCTTCCTGGGACACCTCCAGGGATGGGCACTCCAAACCTCCCTGGGCAGCCCCTGACAAGGCCTGACCACCCTTTCCAGCAACAAATTCCTCCTCCTGGCCCACCTGAGCCTCCCCTGGCACAGCTGGAGGCCGTTCCCTCTCCTCCTGTCCCTTGTTCCCTGGGAGCAGAGCCCGACCCCCCCCGGCTCCCCCCTCCTGTCAGGGACTTGCAGAGCCAGAAGGTCCCCCCTGAGCCTCCTTTTCTCCAGGCTGAGCCCCCCCAGCTCCCTCAGCCGCTCCTGCTGCTCCAGCCCCTTCCCAGCTCCGTTCCCTTCCCTGCACACGCTCCAGCCCCTCCGGGTCTCTCCTGTTGAGGGCCCAGAACTGGGCCCAGCCCTCGCGGTCCCTCAGCGGTGCCAGCACAGGGACGGGCACTGCCCTGGGCCTGCTGGCTTTGCTGGTTTCGATACAAGCTGAAATGCTTATTGCTTAGGGAGGAGCAAACCCTCATTAATTCATCATTCTACAGAAAACACAATAAACCCCACAATCAGTAGGTTTAAGAGAAGGAAAAGTCCCGAGGAAAAAAGTCAGCTCAGTGCTGCCTCAAATATAAAAAACAGTGTAAATGGTGATGAGAAGAGGTTGCACAGTTTAGAGACCTCCATGTAAAGCCAGTTCAGCCTTGATTTTGTTGAATGATCAACAACAAACAGCAACACAAAAAAAGCTCTGAGAAGCCTTTTGCTTTCCAGAATCTGTGTGTGAATTCTGTGAATCCAGAAGTACCTAATTATTAAAGGGGCAAATGATACAGATGTGCTTATGTTCAGGCATAAAACTATATAAATCTAAAATAAATATCAGGATAAGGTATTACCCTATCAACTATTCAACAAATATGTGAGATGGTGCTAAGAAGTTGTATCATCTCAGCCACCTCAAAATTCCTTCTGTAAGATTTTATAGCTCAACAGCTCCTTTTTCTAACATTTTTCCTCCAAAAACTGTGTCAGTTGTGTACCATCTCTGCCAGTCTGTCAGAGGGCTGTGATAGAACAGGATAATCATCTATTTAACAGAAAACAATCAGAGTCAGATGAAGCAACATTTGGGACTTTGAAGTGTGAATATTTTCCCACTCTATGCAGTAAAATATTTATCTTAAGGTATTTTTAGATTTAGTTTTTTTACCAGGTAAGAGTAAAATGCAGGACACTCGTTTTCCAAAGGATGAAGTATTGAATAGTGTAGTCTACAAATGTTTAATTTAATGCTTCCTCTCATTCTGAGCAGCATTGCAAATACAGAGTTTCCTCACTAATTTAAGGAGATAAAGCAAGGGTCCAAGGAGGAATAGATAAAGTTAGAAAAATAATTAGAGATATGATTGGTATTCAAGTCACCAGAGCCAAGAAATTCGCCCTAAAGCATCTGCAGAACTGGCCAGAACAGGGTGACCCGTTATCTGTGACCTGTCCCTGAGCCTGGAGGGCAACAGGAGAGGTCCCAAAGGACTGAGGAGGGAAATTCCACAGCAGAAATGATCCCTTTATAGATTTGTAGTTTGTTTCAAGTTCAGCTGCTCTTTTAAAAACTCACCACGTGTTGTTCATTTAAGGGTAAGTCACCAGCAACACGGTTCTGGCTCAGTGTGACGCTGCTGTCACACCAGGGAAGTGTTTTCATGCCTGTCCTGAGCTTGTGACAAACATTAAACACTAGATGCCATGTTTAATTTTTTTGTTAATTCGCTGGCTGGTGAGATATCACAGGCTAGAATTGGAAAGTCACAGACACAATGGCTTCAGAAAGGACTGGAGCCATTTCAACAGGGACAGAGTTACAGTTTTAAATGATGTTGGCTCGGGAAGAAATGCTCTGAAATAATTAAGATTTATTTTAGTCACAGTGAGTGCTTGGCAATACCAAACAGAGAAGAAATGGCTGTGCATAACTAATAGGACTAAAAAAGACTTAATGAGGGGCAGTTGGGTGAGAGGCATCCTGTGAGGAGACACTGAATGGATTCGGAGTGTTCAGCCTGAGAGGTGCAGCCGAGGCTTGGGCCTGAGGGAGGGATAGAAGCTCCCCCATGGGAAAAAGGGGTTACAGGCAATTTAATAATTCTTTCTCATAATAAAAGTAGTAGGATTAACATATTTGCAATGAAATTATCCAGTAGCAAATTTAAAGCAAGCAGATGGAGTGCTTTCCCATGTCCTGGTTAGTGCCTGGGGCTCACTGCCCTTCCCATGCCTAAAGGGGAGGAAGCCTTTCCAGCCTTAAAGAAGACTGGAAAAGGACTTTTCGCAAGGACATGGAATGAAGGACAAGGGGAAATGGCCCTGAGCTGAAGGAGGGCAGGGATAGATGGGATATCGGGAAGGAATTTTTCCCTGTGGGGGTGGGGAGGCCCTGGCACAGGTTGCCCAGAGAAGCTGTGGCTGTCCCTGGATCCCTGGAAGTGTCCAAGGCCAGGTTGGAGCAACCTGGGCTAGTGGAAGGTGTTCCTGAGCCTCATGCTGTTCTGTAGAAACCCACTGAAATCAGTCAGTTTTTCTCTGTTATTAAGGTAAAAAAGAATATATGTAAAGTCTTCTGGGGCCGCTTGCCGTGAAAACAGTTTCACGACTGCTTTTATCATGCAATAAATTACCCAGGAAAAAAGGATAACAGATTAATTTAACTAATTTAACTAAATTGCAAATAGTATGTTGTTTTATTAAGCGATGCTGTGGTGTAATTAAGAGTTGTTACTGATTAAACACCTTGTAAACACAGAGCTGTTAATTAATACTAAATTACAATAAAATTAACCACGTAACATAAACAAACCATGTAAATGTTTTAAAATGACAGATAATTCGTCAACTAAAAAGCTGCTTATGGAAACCATTTCCTTCAGAGTTTGCTGAAATTAATATGTATATAATAATTGCAAAAATGGAAATAGGGCAAGAAGAGCATTCTTTATGATTTTTCAGTTCTATCCTTTTCAGTTCTTTGATGAGAAACATGGTGTTTTTTTAAGATGGATATTCTTAAACAAATGTTGAAGCAAAGGCCTTGAGCCTCAACTTAGAGAATGCAGGGAAAAATGTAAAAGTAAAACTCAATGACACCTTGAAGACCATCTCTGGATTTGACACTTGTTTTCTCATTTGAATATGAATCTGAACAACTCATGCATTGCTAAGCTCTAATTTGAGTATTATGTATTAATGCTATGGCTCCCATTCAGTTCTCATTTGCAGGAGTGTCAGGGTGTCTGAAACTTATTTGCATGCTTAAAAGATCTGCTGGATTGGATGGTTCACAAGTTCTGGAAATCCCAGAGGTTTTCATTTATCGTTGTGCATTAAGCAGAGAAATACAAAATCCGTGATATCAAAGTGCAGGACTACAGGGGATGGTGGCAGTAGGAGATACAGAAATAGCTCTGAACTCTTAGAGACCTGGGATCAAATCTGATTAAGACCAAATAATTTGAAGCAAATTTTAGCCATGCCTGAGAACACCTAGCAGCAAGATTGCCAAGGTGTATAATAACCACTCAGGCCTTGGGCTTTTGTTCTGTGTGAGGCAATGTGAAAACTCCTCTAAATATCTCTGGGGTTGAATGGCATTTTGGAAACTACTGAAAATTTCAATTGACTATTTTGATTATCTCACAAACAGAAGCTCTATAAATAGACTATTTTTTTTTCCTAAGGAAGTTACTGAAGTTTAAAAACTACAATTATTATGTTTGTATCATGCTGCTGGATAATACTGTAAGTGCCAAAAATGTAAATAGATGTAAAATGTAAAATAGACCTGGTGTGGGTGCAAATTGAAACCCCAATGTCTCAGCCAGGAGGCAGCTAAAAAAAGTTTGTTACAAATATCAAAATCCCTTCAACTTCTAGCTTCAATATCTCAGGCAAAATTTGGTCTCTTATGTGTTTTAATACATCAGTGTGACATCTCTTTGGTTAGTCAACAGTTTCTATCTTGTCTTCTTGCATGGAGCACGTAGGCACATGGTGAGGACATGGGGACATGCAAATGCATTTGCTGCAGAATCCCAGGGTGGGTCAGGCCTGGGCACAACAGTGATCACTGTAATGCCCTCAACCTGCAGTTCAAACCAGAGGAATTTATCAAAATAAGGTACTTGCTAGACTTGGTTGTACCTATAATGGCCATGACATGAGCAGGTCGACATCAAACACTGAACAGCAAAACCAGGTCAGCTACACAGGAACAGAGATGATCCTGCCCTGCCTCTGCTGTTCTGCTCATCCTCCAGGCTGGCTCTGAGAGCAGATGAGGAGTAATGACAAATCCCATTCCATAAACTCCAAATGGGAGTCACTGCAACTGTTTTACATTCTCGCTGAGAATTGTAACAGAGCCCAAATATCAGGTTGGTACCAATCTGCATATAATGAGACAGGAGCTCATTAATGAAGAAATATTGAGATTTTGTACTGGATTATCACAGAATCCCAGGATGGATCAGCCTGGAAGGGACCACAGTGGGCATCTGGTGCCACCTCCCTGCTCCAGCAGGGCCAGCCCAGAGCACAGGACACAGGAGTGTGTCCAGACAGCTCTGGAATAGCCCCAGGGAGGACACTCCACCCCCTCTCTGCTCTCTCTTCAGGGCTGGGTCACTGCCCAGCCAACAAGTTCTTCCTCCTGTCCAGCTGGAACTTGCTGGCCATCAGTTCCTGCCCGTTCCTCTTGTGCCATTGCTGGGCCCCCCCGAGCAGAGCCTGCTCCATCCTCTGCCCCCTCCCTGCAGCCCCTCCAGACCTGGCTGAGGGCCCCTCTCAGGCTCTGCTCTGGAGGCTGAACAGCCCCAGCTCCCTCAGCCTTTGCTGCTCCCAGAGCTGCTCCATCCCTTGGGCATCTCCTGCGCTGGCCCCGCTGCAGGAGCTCCCTGGCCCTGCTG